GCGGTTCCTGCAGGCACAGCCCCGCCGGATGCCTTCCTCCAGCCCTGCAATGCCGTCCCTGCCCGGTGGTTGCCGGGCACGGAACCTTCGGCCCCGCCAGGGTCCCCCCGGCCCCATTCGAGCGCTGCCCCAGGGCAACCTCTAGACCAGCCCGCCCCACGGGGCCTCGCACGGCCACAACGGCAGTGACCCGGGCAAGGAGAGGAACGGACCGGGCGCCGCTCCGCCACCGCCATCACAACCCGCCCCGCCGGTGGGGGCTGGGTCACGCGTCACGTGACCGCAGCTTCCTCACGTGACCGAGACTCATGCGCTCCATCACGTGACCAGGCGCAGCGGCGGGATGGCGCGAGGGTAACGGGGGCGCGGGGCCGGGAGGGGGGGAGCGGACCGCCGGTCCCCGCTCAGCCCCGCTGCCCTCTGCCCACCGCAGGTGCCGGGCGCTCCCCGCTGTGCTGGCACTGTGTGCGGCCGCCTGGAGCTGTTGCGCCGGGGGTCGAGCGCTGGAGCGGGACCAGCCGTTCCGGTAGGTGCCGTTCTGTGCGCTGCGGGATGGGGCGGTGCCTCCCGCGCTGCCCGCGCCGCTCACGGTCCGCCCGCAGCCCTCCGCCCGGATGGGTTCTCGCCGGCCGCGTGAGCCCCGAGCACGGCGTGCAGCTGACCCTGGCGCTCCGGCAGCGTGGCACCGAGCGCCTGGCCCGTCTCGTCCGCGCCGTGTCCGAGCCGCGCTCCCCGCAATACGGTAACGACTGGACCTGCCGGCCCGGCCCCGCCGCGCTCCGGGCCGCGCGTTGACCCTGTGTGCCCGCAGGCAAATATTTGACCGTGGAGCAGCTGCGGGACCTCGTGCGCCCCTCCCAGGCCACGCTGGTGACCGTGCTGAAGTGGCTGCGGGGCCACGGCGTCGAGGACTGCCGCAGCGTCGCCACTCTGGACTTCTTGGAGTGCAGCATGCCGGCGAGGTGAGCGCTGTGCCGGACACGGCCCTCTGCTGGGCAATAGCAGGCCGGGGCCGAGCCCTTCTGGCCCTTGGGGCTCCGTGGCCCGGAGCCGGCTGCTCTGTGCAGCCCCGGTGCTGGAGTAGCTGCGGCCTGCTGGCCCAGAGTGTATGTGAGACAGACAGGTGTGTGTATGAGACGGTGCTCGGGCTGCCCCTCGCCTCCTTGTGCCCGCTTCTGGAGCCACAGTGTCCCCACAGCAGGGCTGGGATGAGCTGCAGTTGGCTTCCGTGGTGCTCAGCCCTGGTATAGAGGGCACTCTGCTCCACAGAAACAGCGTGGGTAGGAAGAGGCACTCATCCCTGGCTCCTAACAGTGGGAAGTGCAAGCAGGGCGTGGGCTGGATTGCGCTGTGCTGTGTGCGAGTCCCAGTGTGAGCTGTCCTTGTGTTGCAGCACGGCTGAGCGCCTCCTGCCCGGGGCTGAGTTCCACCGCTACGTGAAGGGCCAGCGCAGCGTCATCCGCTCCCCGCAGCCCTACAGCGTTCCTGAGGAGCTGGCAGAGCACATCGACTTTGGTATGTGTGGGGGCACTGGGCTGCTCAGAGATGCAGGTGGGAGGCTGAGCGCTGCTGGCCAGGATGGGGCAGCCACAGCGCACGGAGCACAGTGGTTCTCTGGCCGTGTCCCGGCTGCCCCGTGCCCCCCGAGGAGGCGAGCGGTGACCTCAGTGCTTCCCATGGCTGTGCCGGCTGTGCAGGTGTCTGTGGCTCTGCAGGTGTTTGATTTGCCACTGCCTCTGAGGGGTTGAAGCTCCTGCCATGAGGAAGCCGTGGCACCGCAGTCATTGGCACAAGGAGAGCATAAGGTGCCGGGCAGTGGTGGCTGCTCAGCAGTGGGGTAATGGCAGCCCAGAAGGACACGGAGTGCAGTGTGCTATGGGTGCTCCATCCTGTGCCCTGCTTCCAGCCAGGGTGAGGTGGGGGAGCAGGGCTGTGTCTTGCCAGAGCACAGGACCCTGGCACCTTGTCCTTGTTTGTGGAACAGTGGGGGGCCTGCACCGGTTCCCTGCGGAGAGGAGTGTGGTCAGCAAGGCCTGGGCCAAGGAGGGGATGGAGTCCCATGGGCAGAGAGCAGCCTTCCACCTGGGTGTGATGCCATCAGTCATTCGGAAGCGATACAACATGACGAAAGGAGACATCGGACTGCTGCCCAACAACAGCCAGGCCTGTGCCCAGGTACTGCCCGGTGCAGAGGGGGAGCAGCTTGCACCCCAGAGCTGGTGCGCCACTCCGATGGTCCCAGGGTGCCGTGGGAGGGTTCATCAGCTGCTGAGAGCTGTTGGCCAATGTTCCACGAGAACACTGAGCCAACTTCCCAGGTCGGGAGAAAGAACTTTGTGTCCTTCTGTGTCCCCTCAGTTCCTGGAGCAGTACTTCCACCAGGCTGACCTGGCTGTGTTCATGAAGCTCTTTGGCAGCAGCTTTGCCCACCGCACGGAGATCGACCGTGTGGTTGGGCACCAGGGCCAGGGCAGGGCTGGGCTGGAGGCCAGCCTGGATGTGGAGTACATCATGAGCACGGGCGCCAACATCTCCACGTGGGTCTTCAGCAATGCAGGTACCGCTCCCCTGCCAGAGCCCACTTTGCCCTCTGTCTGCCTCCACCTGTCCTACTCAATCTAGCACTGACACACTGGGTCAGGGAAGCACTTGTGAATCTGCCAGGGGTGTGAGATGGGCTGCACGCAGTCCAGCTGGCGTGAGTTGCACCTCGTGGTACCTCACAGGGGCTTTGGGACTGTGGTTTCCCAGCTGCTTTGGGGACATATTTTGTGGGCTTCCAGCGCACTGTGTGCTGTGGGTCTCTGACAGCTCTTAGGGGAGGTGTCATCATTGGTTTTGGATACGTGAGTTTGCACCATCCACAGCACCCTGCAGCACTGCTCACCCTGTCCTGGCTTTGCCATGTGAGGCAGTCACCTCACTCCTCTGCCTGTCCATGAAGGGCTGACCTGAGCATGAATCTGCCATAGGGTGGTGAAGGGCAGTTTGAGGGAAGCAGGTTGCAAACCAGTCTGCTCTGAGATGTGCTGGTGCTGTGGAACAGCGTGTCCATAGTAGAGGGTGGCCAGGGGCTGAGCGCACTGGGACTGTTGGCTCTGTCCTGGTGGTGATGTCTATTGGTGCACAACGCCGTGTGGGCTTCTTCCTCTTCTGTGCTGCCTGCAGTGCGGGAGGAGGACAGAGAGACTCTCTGAGCAGCTGCAAGGCAGCAGGGAGGCCGGGACCCTCTGCTCTATATTGCACAGAGTGGGGATGGACAGGGGGGACCTTAGCAGGGAGAGGTGCTGAGTGCAGCCGTTTCACAAGAGCTGCAGGCAGCCAGAGCCGTTCCTGCCGTGCTGCTGTCAGCTGCGCTGCTCCAGGAGTTCACGGCAGCGTCCAATTGAGTTATTCTGCACTCTGCAGGCAGGGACAGGAGGAGGCAGGGCTTCTGCTGGGGGGACACAGTGCCCGCAGTCCCCCCTGAAGCAGTGCCTTTGTGCCCGCAGGGCGGCACGAGAGCCAGGAGCCCTTCCTGGCGTGGCTGCTGCTGCTCAGCAACATGTCGGCGCTGCCCTGGGTGCACTCGGTCAGCTACGGGGATGACGAGGACAGCCTCTCGCAGGTCTACCTGCAGCGGGTCAACGTGGAATTCATGAAGGCGGCCGCCCGCGGCCTCACGGTGCTTTTCGCTTCGGGTGCGTGAGCTGCTGGGCTGGGGGCGCCCGGCCGCCCAGAGCGGCGAGTGCCGCCCCTCACACGTGGCCGCCCTCAGGTGACGACGGTGCCGGGTGCAGGAGGGTGCCGGGGGGGAACCACACCTTCCGGCCCAGCTTCCCAGCCTCCAGGTAACGGCGGGGCGGCCCGGGGCTCCTTTCCGCTGCCGGGATGGGGGGCGCTGCGGGGTCGGCTTTGGGGAAGCCGCAGCGTCCGTCCGTCCTCAGCCCCTACGTGACCACCGTCGGCGGCACATCTTTCAAGAACCCGTTCCTGGTGACGACAGAAGTGACGGATTACATCAGCGGCGGCGGCTTCAGCAACGTCTTCCCGATGCCCGACTACCAGGTGCGGGCGGGGGGTGCGGAGCAGCCCGGTGCCGAGCGGTGCCGGCGCTGAACCGGGCTGAACCATCCCCAGGTCGAAGCCGTGCGGAGCTTCCTGCGCTCCGCCCCGAAGCTGCCCCCCAGCTCCTACTACAACAGCAGCGGCCGCGCTTATCCGGACCTGGCCGCGCTGTCCGACAACTACTGGGTGGTGACCAACCGGCTGCCGCTGCCCTGGGTGTCGGGCACCTCGGTGAGCGCGGGGCCGTCGGGTCGCGGTGCGGGGCCGCGCTCCGCCCGGTACTGAGGCGTTTCTCCTCCCAGGCCTCGACGCCGGTGGTGGCGGGGATGCTGGCGCTCATCAACGACCGCCGCCTGCAGCTGGGCCAGCCGCCGCTCGGCTTCCTGAACCCCGCGCTGTACCAACTGCGGGAGCGCGGCCACGGCGGAGCGCTGTTCGACGTGAGCGGGGCGGGGAGCTGCGGGATGCGGGCGGAGTGCCGCTGCTCGGGGAGAGGCCGGGAAGGGCCGGGGGGGCGGGGGGAGCTCCTGGCATCCGGGAGACACACGGGGTCGCGCCGTGGGGGCGGGCGCGGGACGAGCGAGGGGCTCCGCCGGGGGGCCGCGTGTCCCCGCGGGGTCCCCACGCTCTCCGTTCCGCAGGTGACGCAGGGCTGCCACCTCTCCTGCCTGGACGGCACGGTTCAAGGCCAAGGCTTCTGCGCCGGCCCCGCGTGGGACGCGGTGACGGGTTGGGGGACGCCCGACTTCCCGCAGCTGCTGCGCGCGTTGACGGCGCCATGACGACAATAAAGGCCGCGGCGCGGCGCCCCCTGCTGTGCTGTGCTGGTATCGCGCGGGAGAGCGGCGCCGCCGGGCGGCCAATGGGGCGCGGTGGAGGGCGGGGCCGATGGGGCCGCGGGGCCAATCGGGCGGCGCGCCGGGCGCACGCGCCTCGCAGGAGCGTCCGGAGCCGTTCGGCGGCGGGCGATGAGCTGCAGCTCCGAGGCCGACCCCGCGCCCGCGGTCCCCGCCGCCCCCGCGCCGCCCGGCCCCGTGCCAGCGCCCACCGCCGACAACAAGCCCAGCCCGGCCGCCGGCGGAAGTGGCGTCCCCGGGGCGCCTCCGAGCGCGGCGGGCGGCGCCGCGCGGGGAGCCGAGGGCGGAGCGGCCGCCGGGAGGGGGCCCGGTGAGTGCGGGGGGGGCGGCCGGGAGCGCGGGGCGGGGCGGCCCCGCTGAGCGTCTGTGCCCGCAGCGCCCGTCTCGGCCGCGGCGCCGCCCGAAGGAGCGATGTCGAACGGCGTGTACGTGCCGCCCGGAGCCGCCAACGGGGAGGTGAAGCCGGTGGTGTCCGGCACGCCGCTCGTGGACTTCCTGCTGCAGCTGGAGGATTACACGCCCACGGTACGCGCGGCGCGGGGCGGGCGCGGCGGGCGGGCGGGCACTGAGCGCGGCTCTCCCCGCAGATCCCGGACGCCGTCACCGGGTATTACCTGAACAGAGCGGGATTCGAGGCCTCCGACCCGCGCATGTGAGTGCGAGGGGCGGCCGGGGGGCCCCGCGGACATCCCCCGGCCCTGGCGCCGTGCCCCCCCCAACGCCGTCCCCTCTGTGCCCGCAGCATCCGCCTGATCTCGTTGGCCGCGCAGAAATTCATCTCTGATATCGCCAACGATGCGCTGCAGCACTGCAAGATGAAGGGGACGGCCTCGGGGAGCTCCCGCAATAAGAGCAAGGTGGGTGGGGGGGCCTGGGGGTGAACATGGGGCGGGTGCTGTGGGGTGGCGCTGCCAGTCGTTGTGCCACTGAGTCCCGGGGTCACAAACCACAGCATGGCCTGGGCTGCAAGGAGCACAGCGCTCATCCAGCTCCAAGCCCTGCTGTGTGCAGGTCGCCAAGCAGCAGCCCAGGCTGCCCAGAGCCACATCCAGCCTGGCCTTGAATGCCTGCAGGGATGGGGCATCCACAGCCTCCTTGGGCAACCTGTGCCAGTGCCTCACCACCCTCTGCCTCCAAAACTTCCTCCTCACATCCAACCCAAACCTCCCCTGTCTCACTTTCAAGCCATTCCCCTTGTCCTGTCACCACCCACCCTCACACACAGCCGTTCCCCCTCCTGTTCATCCGCTCCCTTCAAGCACTGAAGGCCACCATCAGGTCTCCCTGCAGCCTTCTCTTCTCCAAGCCAAACAAGCCCAGTTCCCTCAGCCTTTCCTCATACAGAGCTGCTCCAGCCCTCTGCTCATCTCAGTGCCTCCTGTGGACCCGCTCCCAGAGCTCCAGGTCCTTCCTGTGCTGGGGGCCCCAGCAGGACGCAGCGCTGCAGATGGGGCCTCACAGGAGCCGATGGAGGGGACGATCACCTCCCTCTCCCTGCTGGCCGCCCCTTTTTCATGCAGCCCAGAACACATTGGCTGCATTCCGGGCTGCAGGCGCTCACTGCTGCCTCATGCCCAGCTCCTCGTCCACCAGGACCCCCAGTCCTTCTCCGCAGGGCTGCTCTCCAGGACATCTTCCCCCAGTCTGTGTCAATACCTGGCTTTGCCCCGACCCGATGCAGCACCCTGCACCTGGCCTTATTGAACCTCGTGGTTCAGTACGAAAGGCTGATGTGTGCTGACAAAAAGGGGCTTTGCTGCTGGAAGGGAATGCGATGGGCAGAAGGTGGGCAGTGGTGTGTATGGAGATACTGCAGCCCTGCTGCTCCCACCGATGGGCACCAAACTGTAATGCTGAGGGTAAAAGATAAAGGGAGGAAGTGTGTATAAATAGTTCCTGGGAATCCACACAGCCACTATTTGTGGTTTAGGGGCAATGTAATGAAGTGTTGAGTAACGCTCCGTGTTTCTCTGCAGCTGAGGGCAAAGAGCAGATGCAGTTTTCAGGCCCTCAGTGGTGGTCAGTGCCCCAACCGTTGGCCTCCAGCTGTTCTGGGGAGCGTACGCACACAGCTGGGCTAAAAACCCCACAGCAGCAAGGGGCTGAAGGCACGAGGTGTCCGTGCTGTGGCTGATGCTGCGCTTTGTCCCCAGGACAAGAAGTACACGCTGACCATGGAGGACCTGACGCCTGCCCTCGCAGAGTACGGCATCAACGTGAAGAAGCCGCACTACTTCACGTGAAGCCAGGGGCTGTTGCTGGGAACTTTTTTAGGGTTTGCTTCTGCACCATTAAACCACTGCCTAGTTTTTTTTTTCGTTTTTTTTTGTTTTTTTTTTTGTGAAAAGATGCCATTTCCTGCCCACATGCCTGCTGTCAGGGAAGCATCATTTGGCCCTCGGGGTTCTGCTCTCCCAGCACCACCAGAAGGCGATGGCTGCTGGCTGCTGGGAACTGCAGCCACGTCTCTCCCGGAGGGCTCAGCCTGCCCTGAGCTGCTGCAGGGATGCAGGCACCATGCAAATAGAAGTGCCCAACCTTCCTCTGTGCTTTTTTCTCCATAGCACGTCTCTTGTTTCTTAAGAGGAAGATCCTGAGGGCTGTGTGACAGCTATGGCTCCTCATGCGGGTGTGATGCCAGCCCTGCTGCCTGCTTGCCCCGGGAAGCAGAGAGGGTTTGGCACAGAGCAGCTCCAGTGCCCAGGGCTCAGCGTTCTGCAGGGCAGCCCTGTGCCCTTTCCACAGCAGCCTGCAGAGGTATGCATGCACCCTTCAGCCCACGGGCACCTTTTGTAACAAATATTTATTTCAGATGCTGGCGGCTTTTCCACGTGGCCTGGATGGAAATGTTAAAAAGTGAAGCGCGAAGCTGGGGTGGTGCTGGGCACAAACAGGCAAACCTTCACCCTGCTGCCCTTAGCAGGGAAGAGCACCAGGACTGGACACTTTTAACATGAGACCGCCGTGAGGGCGAGCTGCCCCGGGCCTGGAGCACGAGGTGGCTGCAGGGCAGCAGAGCCCCCCACGCTCAGTGCTTTCATCCAGGTGTCCTGCTCAGTCTGCCCACAGCTGCCAGGGAGGGTGGAGGTGCTGCCATAGATGGGTGCTACAGAGCCCAAAGCCTGCAGAGCGGCTCCAGGGAAGGCAGCACCATCTGTACCGTGTGTCCATGGCTGGCTCAGGGTGAGGGGGCAGCCCCTGCTCCCCCTTAGCTCTGGGGTTAAAGGCACTTGGAGGTGGGGGGGAAGGGAGCATGGCAGCGTCAGACGTCGGGGAGGCGCCTCCCTCTACTTGTCCTGCATCTTCTCCAGGATGGGCACGATCATGTCGAACTTCGGGCGCTTGGCTGGGTCCTCATTCATGCAGATCTTCATCAGCTTGCAGATGTGTGGGGAGATGCCAGGTGGGATGGTTGGACGGAGCCCTTCCAGTGCCACCTGGTAGCGAGGCAGGGCAGAGCAGGATCAGGCAGCTGGACCCGGCCCTGCCTGCTGGGCACATGGGGAGCTCTGGAAGGAGCCCCTCTGGGCTCTCTGTGGGGCCCCACGCGTGCTCCCCCCTGGCCCAGCTGTGCTCAGACTGGTTTGGGCCCCTCCGCCCCTCACCTTCATGCCTATCTCCATGTTGGACAAGTCTGCAAACGGCACCTCACGGGTCACCAGCTCCCAGAGCAGCACCGCAAAGCTCCACATGTCCGCCGAGCGCCTGTTAATTTCCTCCGGCTTCTTCTGCAGGGCTGCGGCAAATCCAGTGCAGCACAGGGGCTGAGAAGGGCAGGGGAGAGGAAGGGGGCAAAGCAGCAGGAGGGGCCCGAGTGCCTCACGCTCACCTTCAGGAGCCACCCAGGCTGGCGCGTACATCCTCCCAGGGCACTGGAAGGAGAACTTCACGTCGGCCATGCTGACCCTCGCAGTCATGTCCTCGTCAATCTGGGAAGAGAGATGCGGTCGCAGCCACCCGCGCAGCCCAGGCCGCGGGGCGCAGGCAGCAGCGCTCACCATGATGCTGCGGCTGTTCAGGTGGTGCCGTGGGATGAGGGGCTCCAGCGTGTGCAGGAAGGCCATGCCTCGCGCAATGTCAAAAGCAAATTTCACTGCCTGCATCTGGTCCACCACGAAGTCTGCAGGGAGGGAGGTGGGCACTGGGGGTCACTGAGGAATGAGTGGCAGCGTGGGAAGGGGGCAGCGATGGCAGCACGAGGACAGGGGCAGGTAGGCCGTGAACCAGCCTGCTTGTGGCTGCCCTGCAGTCGCAGCCGGAGGAGTCGGCGCTGCTGCCCCAGTGCACAGAGGGGCAGCCCCCCAAGGACAGAGACCGGCGCCGGCCTCAGCTGCGTCACCTTCTGTTAGCACTCACTTGTCCCCTCATGTAACACATTGTAGAGGGAGCCGTAGGGCATCCAGTGGCTGATGACAATGGGATGGGGGGCAGGGGGGGACTGGCAGGCACCCAGCACTGGCAGCACGTTGGGGTGAGAGAAGATCCTGCAAGAGAAGTGATGGTGCTGAGTGGCTGCTCGCAGCAATGCATTGTCTCTGCCCTCTCCTCTGGTGGCTGCCTTGCCCCCATCAGCCTCTGCTCACCGCGTGGGCTCCCATCTCAACCCCCACCTCAGGGATGACACCCGCCCCCGGGGGCCTTGGCTCCTCTGGGGAGGATGCTGCCACTTACCTCAGCTTTGGGTACTCCTCATTGAAGTCTCGGCTCTTCCGAGTTGTCCAGTCCCGAATTTTCAGCATTTTGATGACAATGTCATTGCCTTGCCAGCGCCCTTTCCACAGCTGAAGGGAGACAGACGGATGTGATCGCTGTGAGGGGGGTCCCCGAGCACCCCTGAGCCTCTTGTGCAGGACGGGGATCCCGCACTGATGTGCAGTGACTGTGATGAGGTGGGAGTTCACCCAGGCAGCTGCCAGCCTGCAGCTGGCCCCACATTGGGGCTTGGATGCCCCTCAAGCAGCTGCACCCCTTTTGTGCTCTGTGTACAGCCAGGGGCTCTGCTGTCCCAGCAAGGAAACAGCCTCCGTACCTCTCCTGATTGGTTCTCATTGAGTTTTTGGCTCAAGCTCAGCTGTTTGTAGTCTATTCCAGCAAGTTTGTTGAGGGTCCCGTTTCCTGTAAGAAGAGAGGACTGCGTGGGACCTCCCTCCTGTCGTGGGGCTGCAGGAGGCGCAGTACCAGCACAGTGCCTGCAAAGGCACCGCAGTAAGGGGATCTCCCTTGCCCCAACGAGCCACCCAATGTGCTGTGCCAACTGCTGCCCCTCAGCCCTGAATTCCACCCCACCACACAGATTTGTGCCCCCAGCAAGCAGCACGCTCTGCAGGGAAGCCTCTGTCCTTACGGGGCCGCGTGCGGGTCGTGCCCTTCCAGAAGGTGTCCTTGTAGGGGATCTTGGTCAGGTTCTGGCCCAGCTTCTCTGCACGCTCTGGAGGCAGATGAGGAGTTGGGCAGCAGAGCTTGTGGTGCCGAGCCCTGCAGCAGCCAGAGGCAGGCTCTGGGTGCAGCTGGTCCCTCTTACCTTTCAGTATCTCCCGCAGAGGCATCTTGGCTTTGTCAATGGGCGTCTCGCTGTACTTGTTGGCAATGCTGACCAAGGCCCCATTACCCACAAGGTCCTGAGGAAGGAGAAAGCGAGCACCCACAGCTGCTGCCCTTTCCTCGCCCCCTTCCTACGCACCCAGCCTCCTGCCCGCCCCTGCCCTGCACTCCCCAACGCCGCCTCCTGTGCTCCAAACTCCTGCCTGCATCCAGGCGCTGCGCTCACCTCTGCCACCGTGTCGTGTCCCCAGAAGCAGGCGTAGTGCAGAGGGGTGTTCCCGTGCTCGTTCACCGCATTGATGTCCGCTTTGAACTGGATCAGCTGCAGGCAGGACAGTCCTGGTGAACCCCGAGCGGGTCCCTTCCACCGCCCCAAGGCAGGGGGGGCCGCACTCCCAGCAGGGGCTGCTGCTGGAAGGGGGCCGAGGGCTGCGAGGGGACGGCAGGGGCAGCCAGAGGTGCGTGCAGCAAGGAAGGAGGCGGGGAGCAGCAGGGCAGGGCTGACGGCGGTACCTTCTGCACGATGTCGCGGTGGCCGTGGCTGGCCGCCAGGTGCAGCGGGGTGTCGTCGCCACGGTTCATGACGTTGATGCGCGCTCCTCGCATGATCAGCATGTCCACCACGTTGGAGCGGCCCTCGCGGCAGGCCCAGTGCAGGGGGCTGAAGCCGTGGTCATCCCTGAAGGGACAGCAGTGAGGGCTGTGCTGGGCAGCGCCTGGGCCGTATCTCAGGGGGAGCAGTGGGGAACGGCGCTGGAAGAGACTCCGTGCCGTCCTGCAGCTCCGTGGGCCTCTCAGCCCTCTGCTGAGCGAGGCACAGCTTTGTGCCTGAGCCCCGGGTTGGGCAGGGAGCTGCGTTCTGCTCCCACTCCTCAGCCCGGATGGCTGTGAGGAGCACAGCCCAAGCGGTGCTCCTGCTCTGCCCATCCCCACCAGGGCCCTGACCACGTCCCACCTTCCTCAGGGCTGGAGCAGCAGGAGTCTGCTGAGGACCAGGCCCCCTATTCGCCCCCCCATCTGCTTGCAGCCGTGCCTGGCCAAGTAAGGGAGGAGGCGGCAGCAGGGCCTTAAAAGGAGATTAGGGCCCAGTAGGCGGGGATGGGGATGCTGCAGCCCCGCTGCCCCCAGCTCCAGCAGAACTGGGGCCATCCGGTGACCGCCCTGCACTGCCGGCAGTGTTCCTGTGGCACACGGCACAGGGCTGGAGCCAAACAGCCCCTAACAACCAATCCCAGCCCCACGGGTACAGCCCAGCCCAGGACAGCTCTGCAGAACGAGCATCTGCTGGGACGTGGAGCAAGGCCCACAAACAGCCTTCCCTGCACTCAGCAGAGATGCTGCTGTGGCTCAGTGCTGGGCAGCAGGCTGTGCCCGCCCTCAGCCTCGCGTTGGGCAGTAGGAGGAATCAGCTCTGCGCGGAGCGATGGGAAGCGCTCGGGGCCACGCGGTGCCGTCGGAGCCGCTGGGGAGGGCGGGGAGGGGGTCGCGGGCAGCGGTGCCCCTGGGGTCAGGGGTCACGTCAGGTCACCGCGTGCCGCAGCCACTTTGGGGAGGGGCTTCGCCCAGCGCCCCCAGCCCAGCCGACGACCAGGACAGCGACCCGCGGCCGAGGATCGGACGGAGGACGTGCAGCCCTCATGCCTCAGCGATGCGGTAACTTCCTCCGGCGGGGAGGAGCCGCATCCCACCTCCTCCTCCGGACACGGAGCGGAAACGCGCCCCGGGCGGACCGAAGCATCCCCCGCAGCCCCCCCGCTCACCCCTGGTTGAGG